ACTTCCTTCCCTGAATTAAATGCAGGGCCCAATAAACGTTTCTGTGGCGGGGGTACACCTAGAGGTTCCTTCAGTCTTTCAGGATTACAGGGACCGCGGGGTTCGGCTCGTGAGCGGCTCCCTGCTGTGGAGGCATCACCCGGACGCTTGACAGAATCAAGCGCCCAGGTGATTGCTGGAAGAGTTAAATGTGACATTCAAGGAAGGCACCCAGCACTGCATGGCGAGCACTCAATAAGTGTTGGTCCTTCATCAACAAATGCGTTGAGCACCCAGTGGGTGCTACACCCTGTGCTGGGGTGGAGATCAATCAGACTCCTGCAGCCCTTCCTGGAGCAGATGCCAGCCCACCATAAGCCACTCAGCATTTCCTGAACTCCCACTAAGTACAAAAGATAGTCTGTACTGGAGGAAAGCCGCCCTCCCCTACTGCCATGAAAGACTGGCAGTTCCCTTCCTGCAAAGAGCAAATTTGGCCTTGAATTCAGGAACCCCACATCCTGAGCCCAGCCCTGCCACTAATTTGGTTCTTAAGTAACATTGCTGCTGCTGTGGTCTTCAGTTTCCTCATTTGCAAAAGGAGTTGGATCAGATTATCATTAGGGTCAACTTTCTCCTCCCCCAAAACTTGTGGTCTTGCACCTTCAGGCAAGTTATTGCAGTGGAGACTACTTAGCTGATAGCCCAAGATGTGTAACCAAGGCTGGACTTTCTGTACCCCTCACCCCACCCCATCCCTGGCCACCCCTCCCAGCACACCACTCCTTTCCTTCTGGTGTTGGCTGGTAGCATCTGCATTCTAAGCAGGGGAGAACGCTTTCGAGTTCCTTGACTTGAACCTAGGTTAGCATTAAAAACACAAGCCCAGAGGCAGCCAGCCATGCTCCGCTGCTCCTACTCCCTTCCCGGGACCTGTCCCTGATGTCATAACTGGGTAACTATGACAGCTTGTCATGGGGACAGCTAGGCACCTCACAGAGGAGCCTGGGTACCTCATTTCTGAAGTGAGACTAGGAAGAGAAGATGAACAATTCCCTGGATTATCTGGCCTACCCTGTTATCGTCTCTAATCACAGGCAAAGCACAACCTTCAGAAAGAAACTGGACTTTGGCCACTACATATCTCACAAGAATAGAATACAAATAGGTATGTGGGCACTTTGGGCTGGACACCGCTATCAGGGATTTGGGAATGGTAACCCATAAAGAGATCGACAGTAAACCAGACCAGGTCACAGCTTTGGGATGATATGGCCTTATCTGCTGAATTTGGGCAAGAGGGCATTAGCACCAATAACAAAATGTATCTTCCACAAGGGAGTTCACTGGATGGAAATACTCCCTTCAACTCTTTAAAGCCAAAGTACGTTAGAAAGAGGATAGGACTTCAGAAGCCAATAGACAGGCTAAAAATATTAGAAAAGGATTGGAAGAGAGGCTTTTTCATTGGATTAAAAGGATATTTATCTCTGTAAATTTTACTTTCACTATTCTTTTGTTTCTGCTCAAAAGTCTCCAGAGATGTCCATTTGATAAATTAAACCAAACCAAACTTCCTGAGTCGCATTAAGGTCCTAATTCAAAAGTGTTCATTAGTCAAGGACACTGTCTAGTGCTGGTTTTCTGAGGCTGCTACTGGAATTCCTGTGATGTAACATTGTTCCCTTTTATCCCCCTTCTCTAGTGAAGCCTACTGTTGATACCAAACCTCCAGTGGCGCACACACATCACATTTTAAAATTGAGCAAACTACAGGTATTTGTTCTCGCTGCTTGCAGATGTGCAGATGTATTTTATGGACTTCCAGTCCGTTTCCTAAAGAGGTTCAATTTCTCAGAGCCTTCTAAATACCCACCTACTCAAAGATTTGTTAACACTCCTTCCCACACACGTCACCCCTAGTATTTCCCGCCCCCCACCCCCCAGGCGGAGTCTCGCTCTGTCGCCCAGGCTGGAGTGCAGAGGCATGATTTCAGCTCACTGTAACCTTCGCCTCCCAGATTCAAGCGTTTCTCCTGCCTCAGCCTCCCGAGTAGCTGGGATTACAGGCGCATGCCACCATACCCAGCTAATTTTTCGTATTTTTAGTGGAGACAGGGTTTCACCATGTTGGCCAGGATGGTCTTAGTCTTCTGACCTCGTGATCCGCCTGCCTCGGCCTCCCAAAGTGCTGGGATTACAGGAGTGAGCCACCGCGCCCAGCGTCCCAGTCTTTTAAGTTCTGCTCCCAGTCTCCCCTGTGGCCCTCAATGCACCCCTTTCCCATGATCTCAGAGGAGGGGGACACTAAGTCATTGTGTGTGGGAGCAGTGTACTGATGGTGTCACCACGGTGAGGTGTGGTTTCTTACCAGGGTGAACAAAAGAAAATCAACAAAATCGAGTATGAAAACAAGCAACTGTGTCAGAAAATCGCAAATGCCCATCGTGGCCCTGCCAAGGTGGATTGCTGGAATGAATATTTTTCCAAGAGGTAATGTTCTTTGTCTTCATTTCAGTTTTGAAAAGTCAAAATTGACTTTCCTCTTGGGTTTTAGTGTGAGGTTTTCCCAAGCCAGAGGAGTACTTAAGGAAAGTTATCTTGAGGGAGAACCAAACAGACCATGTTACACAGAATGAAAACTTTAAAAATGGGGACCTTTCTCTAGCATTAAAGAGCTTTTATTTCATCTAAGAGACTTTTCAGAGTCCTATTCAGTTTGTCACAAGAATGCACTGCCCACTTTTATAAGATGGTGGCCATGTGTCTTAGTCCATTATAGGGTGTTATAGCAAAATGGTATAAACTGGTGGCTTATAAACAACAAAAATTTATTTCTCATAGTTCTAGAGGCAAGGAAGTCCAAAGATCAAGGTGCCAGTAAATTCGGCATCTGATGAGGGCCTGCTTCACAGACAGCCATCTTTTCACTGTAACCTCATGTGGCAGAAGGAGCAAGGGGTTTCTCTCAGGCGTCTTTCATAAGGGCACTAATTCCATTAGGGTGACCTAATCATCTCTCAAAGGCGCACCCCCTAACCATCACCTTAGTGGTTAGGATGTGAACATAAGAATTTTGGGGACACAGACATCTGGACCATAGCACCATGGCTGGGGCTATGATGTGATATTCTTAAAATTGGTTCCAGAAATCTTTCCTAAGCAACTACTATGTGCTAGGCACCAGGAATAACAGAGATGAAATGAGATGTATATTTCCTAACCTCAAAGAACTCAAGGTCTTGTAGGGGAGATATTTATGGAAATAATGACAATGCAGTGTGATTAGGATACAAAAGAAGCACATGCAAGAGAAAGAATTTGGTGTAGGGGGAGGAGATGGTCGAGATGCCATTCCTATATCCTGCTATATTCTGGTATAAGTTGAAAGCTGAGAGGAGCGAGATGACCTTGTCGCCAGGGATTTATCCACAGGGAGACCTTCCCCCAACCAGAAGTTCTCAATCCTGGTTTTACATTATAATCCTTGGGGAATTTTAACAAAATGCCAGTGTGCGTGGTTCACCTCAGATCAATGAAGTAGAATCTTCTCTTGGGCAACAGGGTTGAGGACCACTGATATAAACCTCCAAATGCAGTGTACATTTCCCAGAGTGCAGTGCGGATCAACAGGCTGCCCCAGTGGCCTGTGGGCTCAGCAGGACAGGTTACTCCCTGCACTTAGACAGCCTGGCATTTATGATCTCATGACTTCATCTCCCCCACTTGTTAAGATGAGCATTTTCTTCTTCACCCATCTCGGGGTTTTGTGTTTTTCAGCTTAAACAGAGAAACGAGGAACCGCGAGCTAGTGAGAATCACCATGGAAAACCAGGGCATTCTGAAGAGGCTTGTTGATCGCAAACCCCACTATGACCGCAGGGCGTCTGAGATAGACTGGCAGGCACGTGGGCACTTATGTTATACTCCCAGACACACACAAGAGTTTGTCCCTGTTCAGCCTAGAGAGTCTCAGAAAGATCCCTAAACAGCTAGAGTCAGATCACCTGAAATGTAACAATCATTAAAGGAAAAACCATCCAAAGCAAACAAAACTAACAGGCACAAACCATCAAACAAACAGCTAAAACATCTTGGTAACAAAGCTATTATGTATCAGTTTCATAACATAACAATTATGTGTCAGTTCCAGAAAAATAATCTAGTAGCATCTTCCCTCATCCCTTAATTCATTAAGAAAGGCTGAATGTACAGGGATTAGGGTATAAGAATCAGTCAGTATGTGGTTGGTTTGCTTCATTTAGGAATGACCCTTAAAAAGGTCAGGGGAGGGGAAGCCATCTGTGGTGTTTTAAAAAAACCTCCACTTACTGACTTTGGTCTTTAAATCTTTTCTAAGTCATCCCTAGGATTTAGAACTTCAGTAATAGCACCAATGCCCTGGTATTGACATAAACCAATTTTTTTTCCTTCAAGAATTCAAGGCGCTATATCAGAAATACTACGAGATATCTTCTCTCCCAAAATGAATAGGTATGTCTCTCTCACTATCAAACATTGTGACCAGAGCTGATACCAAAGCACTGAGAACCCCATAAATGGTGAATGAGGGGCCCAGTTAAGGAGACGGATTTTGCTCTTCTCATATAATATTGACTAGTCATCCATTCGGGAAACATGGGGCTCTCTGACTTTATTTCTTCTCTCCATACAAGAAGGAAATGATATTGCTTTTTGTCATCATCTTTGAGGCTTTGTGGGAATCTAAGGGGAAGTGATTTGTTCCAATAAGACATAAACTGGAGCACTTGTGGCTTTGAAGTTGTGCCAAAGTTACATTCCAGGTCTCTCAGTATTCAAAAGTACCTGCATGTTGTCATTTTGTATTATTTAACATTATTAGTAATGACTAAATGGACACTCAGGTGTTCCAAAGAATAGTTCTGTGTAATTGATGTGTCTCCTCTCTTCTCCACTGAATACAAGGTTATTCACCATAGAAAAGGTACAAGAGAAGGCCCTGGGATTTCCTGGCTGCTTAGAATCGGAAGACACTCCTGAGTGGCTGAATGCTCAATCTTCAGACACTTCAATAAAGCTTGGAACATAAAATGTGGAAGTTACATTTAGGGGACCCAAAGGCTTTACGTTCTCATTCCAAAATGGGGCAGGCAGAAGGAAAGATGCAATGAGCATTTTTATTTGGGGCTATGAAAAGAAGTTTTAACGAGAGAAAGAGAGAGAGAAATCAGAGAACTCTTTAAAACATACACCATCATCACCATCCCACGGAAGAAGAAAAGCTGGGGTGAGATCATCCAGCCACAAGTACAGCACTGTCAAAATGGAAAACAAAATCACATGGCAACATCAAGGTTCAGAAAACACAAGGAACAAGTGCCGTTAGTTCCTCTGTGAATATACACAATTGGAAAAGAATGCCTCATTGAAGTTTCCATGGACTCTGTTCATTTATAGGGAGCAGCAGCAGTGAAAATGTCTCAAAACATATGGTGTGACAATGTTGCAGGCCTGCTATGACTGGTCGTGCTCGTTTTTAGCCCAATTATATTAGTCAGCATTTTCCAAAGAGACAGACTCAATAGGAGAGAGACAGACAGAGAGACAGAGACAGAGAGAGACACAGAGAGAGGATTTATTTGGGGAATTGGCTCACAAGATCATGGAAGCTGAAGAAGTCCCACCAGAGGCCATCTGCAAGCTGCAGACCCTGATGCAGCAGGGCAGATAACCCCCAAAGTGGGACTTAGCCTGCAAGGGTTCTTGGCTTCACCCAGGAAAGAATTTAAGGGTGAACCAGTGGTAGGGTAGAAGAAGACAGTTTTATTGAAGCAGCAGTGTTACAGCTCTGGCAGTGTTACAGCTCCATGACTGCTCCTGCAGAACAGGGCTACCCCATAGGCAGAGAGCTTTGCAGTCATAGTTATACTTACTTTTAATTACATGTAGATTAAGGGGCAGTTTGTGCAGAAATTCTAGGAAAAGGGTAGTTTTTTTTTGTTTGTTTGTTTTTTTGAGATGGCGTCTCACTCTGTCGCCCAGGCTGGAGTGCAATGGCACGATCTCAGCTCACTGCAACCTCCACCTCCCGGCTTCAAGCGATTTTCCTGCCTCAGCCTCCCAAGTAGCTGGAACTACAATCACACGCCACCACACCCAGCTAATTTTTGTATTTTTAGTCGAGACAGGGTTTCACCATATTGGTCAGGCTGGTCTCGAACTCCTGACCTCAGGTGATCCACCCCCCCGCCCCACCCGGCCTCCCAAAGTGCTGGGATTACAGGCGTGAGCCACAGTGTCCGGCCTATAGGAAGGGGTAGTAATTTTTGGGTCCTTAGATCATTGCCGTGGAAAGGGGTGGCAACTCCTAGGTGTTGCCATGGTAATGGTAAACTGACATGGACACACTAATGGGAGTGTCTTATGGAAAGCTGCTTCCACCCCTTCCCTGTTTTCGCTAGTCCTCAGTTGGATCCTGTGTCCAAGCCCCGCCTCTGGAGTCAAGTTCTGCCTCCCACCTCACTGGGATGCTGGTAGCAAGGCTTGGTCCAAGCCGGAAAGCCTCAGAACCAAGAAGAAGGTGGTGTAACTCTCAGTTCAAGGTCAAAGGCCTGAGAACCCACCAGGGGGGACAAGGGTACCGGTATGTGTCTTGGAGTCCAAAGGCCAAGGAGCCTGGAGTTGTTGTCCCAGGACAGGAGCGGAAGAGTGTATTCTAGTTTCAGCAGATAGATTGACATATTCACCTCTTGTCTGTTTTTGTTCTCTCTGAACCCACAGCAAGTTGACTGATGCCTCTCCACATTGAGAGTGGATCTTCCCACATAGTTCACTCAGACTTACATGCTAATCTCTCCTGGAAACACTCTCACAGACACACCCAGAAATAATGCTTTACCAGCTTTCTATTCAGTCAAGTTGGCACCTAAAATTAACCATCGCACTGACTTTTTAAACTTTCTATTTTGAAATAATGAAAATTCACAGGTAGTTGAAAATAAAGGAACAGGGAGGCCTCCTGCAACCTTCACCCAGTCTCCACCAATGTTAGCATCTTGCATAACTGGAGTACAATATCAAAACCAGGAAACTGACATTGGGATGATGCACAGAACCTATGCAGGCTTCATCAGTTATACATGCACTCATTTTTGTACATATGTGTATAGCTCTATGCAGTTTTTCTCACATGTATAGCTTTGTGTAACCACAACCACATTGGAGATACTTAAAAGCACTATTATCAAAAGACACTCTTGTGCTACCCTTTAGCCACAGTCACCTCAGACCCTCAAGCCTAACTCTTGGCAATCACAATCTGTTTTCCACCTCTCTGTTAGTTCATGGTATTACATAAATGGCATCATGCAGTATATGTCCATCCTTTTGAGACTGGCTTTTTTCACTCAGGATAATTTCCTGGATGTTCATCCAAGTTGTGTGTGCCTTTTTATTGCTGAGTAGTATTCCATGGTATGGACGTACTACAATTTATTTAACCACACATCCGTCAAAGGACATTGGGATAGTTTCTAGATTTTCAAACATCATTATTATTATTATTATTATTATTATTATTTTGAGATGGAGTCTCGTTCTGTCGCCCAGGCTGGAGTACAGTGGCGCGATCTCGGCTCACTGCAACCTCCACCACCCAGGCTGAAGCAATTCTCCTGTCTCAGCCTCCCGAGTAGCTGGGACTACAGGCATGTGCCACCACACCTGGCTAATTTTTGTATTTTTAGTAGAGAAGGGGTGTCACCATATTGGACAGGCTGGTCTTGAACTCCTGACCTCGTGATCCACCTGTCTCAGCCTCCTAAAGTGCTGGAATTACAGGCGTGAGCCACTGTGCCCGGCCTGAATATTATATGTGAAACTGCTGTGAACATTTGTGTGCAAGTTTCTGCACAAAAATATATTTTCTCTGGAATAAATGCCCAAGAGTACAATTGCTGGGTTGTATGGCAAGTCCAATTTTAGTTTTAAAAGAAACTACAAAACAATTTTCCAGAGCAGCTATGATACCATTTTATATTCCCACCAATAATGGATGAGTGATCCAGTTTCTCCACATCCTCATCAACATTTGATGTTATCACTTTTTTTACTTTAGCCATTCTGATATGTGTGTAGTGAAATCTCATCTGTATATCCTCTTCAGTGAAATGTCTGTGCATGTCTTTTGCTCATTTCCTAATCTGATTTTTAAATTTTTTTTATTTTTTATTTATTTATTTTTTTCGAGACAGAGTCTCGCTCTGTCGCCCAGGCTGGAGTGCAGTGGCACGATCTTGGCTCACTGCAACCTCCGCCTCCCGGGTTCAAGCAATTGTCCTGCCTCAGCCTCCTGAGTAGCTGGGATTACAAGCATGTACCACCAAGCCCGGCTAATTTTTATATTTTTGGTAGAGATAGGGTTTCACCATGTTGGCCAGGCTGGTCTCAAATTCCTGACCTCAGGTGATCCACCTGCCTCGGCCTCCCAGAGTGCTGGGATTACAGGCATGAGCCACCACACCTGGCCTGATTTTTTAAATAGCAAATTTTGAAAGTTATTTACATATTCTAGATATAAGTCCTTTGCCTGCTATGCACTTTGCATGTATTTTTCTCCCAGTCTATAATTTGTCTTTTCATCCTCAAGGTCTTTGACAGAGCAAAATATTTTTGATGACATCCAACATATCAGTGATGAAACTGTTCTATATCTTGACTGTATCAATGTCAATATCCTTGTTGTGATACTGTACCATATAGTTTTGCAATATGCTACCACTGGGGGAATCTGGTAAGGAGTTTACAGGATCTCTCTGTATTATTTCCTACATGCATGTGAATCTATAGTTATCTCAAAATAAAAAGCTTTAAAAAAACAACATGTCTAAATACAAATTCATTATTAACTAACAACCATTCTTCTAGACACCCAGGGTAGAAACCTGAGGTCATCTTTTACTTCATTCCTTCTCTTTCCTCCTATCCCCCTCCCTACATATCTTTTCTTTTCTTTTTTCTTTCTTTTTTTTTTTTAAGACAGAGTCACTCTGTTGCCCAGGCTATGGTCTAAAAGCTACGAGGCTTATGTCTCAATCTCTATATGAGCTACTGCCCATATTTCAGGCATTTGTGATTTATAACTTGTATTACTAATGCAAAAATATGCCCATATTACTTTCTAGCTTAATGGCTTCAGTGATTTGCCATTCTTGCATAATGGGCTGGAGCTTTAAATAGAGTATACAAGGCTTTTCATGATCCAGCCCATTAACTGCTCAGGTTATATTAGTTATAGTTTCAAAGGTTTGGAGATTTTCTGGTTATCTTTCTGTTATTAATTTTTAATTTGATCCCATTATGTCCAGAGAACATACTTCATCATTTCAATTCTTTTAAACTTGTTAAGGTGTTTTTTTTTTTTTTTAATCAAGGTGAATATTTTATGGACATTTGAAAAGAATGTGTATTGTGCTGTTAATGGGCGAAGTGTTCTATAAATATCAGTTAGGTCCCGTTGGTTGATGGTGTTCAGTTCTTCTACATCCTGATGATTTTCTATCTAGTAGTTCTATCAGTTGCTAAGGGTGGGTGTTGAAATCCCCAACTGTAATTGTGGATTTGTCTATTTCTGTTTTTAACTCTGTTTTTGCTTCA